TCAAGCGTTTGTAAGCGCACACTATGGGGTTGCCAATTACCGTATTAGATGCATCCACATTTAAAGAGAGTTTGGCATCTTTGTTAAAATGATTTAACAATATCGTAGACGCAAACTTTTCTTTAATACATTCAAAGGCTTTATTTGTTCGGTCATCCCAAATTAGGGACTTGTCACGTTTCTTAGTTGTTCGATTGATTAAATCGTAGATAACTGCCGTAAACTCAGCTAATTTTGGTACATATCGATGGTAGTAGTTAACCATGCCTATAAATTTCTGCGCCTGTTTAATAGATTTAGGACGTTCAAAACTAAATAGCTATCACTTTTTCATCAGAGGGTCTAATTCCTGCCCCAGAAATATTATGTCCTGAAAAGTCAACACTTGTAACACCAAAAGTACATTTACTTGGTTTGATATTTAACCCATACTCCGTTAGGCGTTGGAAAAGTATACGGAGATCTTTAAAATGCTGTTCCTCATTTTCACTTGCAACCAATAGATCATCAATATATGTAAAAACAAAATCTAAACCACTAACTACTTCATTAATAAATCTTTGAAAAGTTTGCGCTGAATTTCTTAGTCCGAAAGGCATTCGTATAAATTCAAACATACCGAAAGGTGTCGTTATTGCAGTTTTATAGATATCCTATTCTGCCATTGGAATTTGGTGGTAGGCTCTCACCAAATCTAATTTCGAAAATATATACTTATTTCTGAGATTCATGTTAAAATCTTGAATATGAGGTAAAGGATAACGGTCCGGTACAGTCACAACGTTAAGTCTCCGAAAATCACCACAAGGACGCCAGTCATTCAGTTCTTTTTTAGGTACAAGATGCAGTGGAGATGCTACACAAGAATTTGAAGGTCTACAAATCCCTGTCCTCACTAAAAAATCGAATTCAGTTTTTGCTACTTTAAATTTAATCGAATCCAAGCGCCTTGGCTTTGAGAATGGCAGATTTCCTTCAGTAAAAAGTCTGTGAACGGTAGAATGTTTAACCGGTTTCGAATAATCTGGTTCAGCAATCAAAGAAGGAAACTCCTTCAACAATCTTGTATGCTTGTTCTCTACTACGAAAATTTTTGGAAGTGAAATGTTACAAACACATGAAACCGTGTTAACCGAAAGACTTGTTACTGGATCAACTGAACGTTTGCATTTCATGTCAATTAAGAGACCGTATTTGCAAAGAAAATCTGCACCAATAATAGGTTTCGCAATATCAGCTATAAGAAACGTAAATGGGAACTCGCAGTGTTGCCAACTTTTTAGTTTCAAAAAGCACCAAACCTTGGAAAAAAGAGCGTTTTACCGCACTAAAAGCACTAAATTTTTTTTTATCTAAGGATACTCTTTTTCATAACAGTTTGTGGTAAGCAAAAGTAAAAAAATAAGCAATATTTACATGTATAAATAAATACACATTCATGCTTGCGAAACTGGTACATCTGGAGAAGGAACAATCGAATCGCAACAAACGAAATATAATTTTAAAGGGGAAGAGTAATACTTAATGATACCCTAAGTAGAAATGAGCGAAAAAATTTGTTGTTTTATAATATTACCTCAAATATTGCGAAAAACCGTGTTTTTACACTTAGATGCTAGGATATCTCAAAATTCTGACGTGGTAGAGAAATTCTGTAATTGGATTCAGCACCGAAAAATCTACACAAAACGGTTCCACTCAGGTGGAAAAAAAGTTAAAATTTTTCGAACTGTGTAATCAATCAATAATCAAGAAAATAAAAAAAATAAATACTTAACTTATCTGCGTGCTAGCATTTTCAACGCGAATACAATTTAACAAAAACGCAAGAACGTGGGTTTGCAACTTCATCTTTTTATCAATCATGGTTTGCATTTTAGTGCATTTAAATTTGTAGATTCTTGTAAATTCAGAAATTTTAGTTCAGAAAAAAGCACTAAAAAGGGCACTAGGCACTAAACCATTTTTTTTGGCGTTTTAATTTTCAAAAAGCACTAAATTTAGTGCTTAAAGCACTAAGTTGGCAACTATGGGAACTCGCGTCTTTAACCCAAAATATATATTTAAAATCTTTTTACCATACGTTGAAATCGTTTAACCATTGGCTGCAGTAAGTATTATATCTGAAGAACGTTTTGTATGAGGGAATTTTTTAACCGGAAGTATAGAAATTTCTGTTCCTCTATCAATCAAAAAATTTAGTTTGTTTGTTTTATCAAAAATAAAAAGGCGACGTGTGGTAATATCTAAATTTCCATTGTTTGCCGCCACAACAACAGAAGACTCTAGTTTGACGAATTTTTGTTTTTAGAAAAAGCACAAGGCTGTTGACATTTCTGAGCCTTATCACCAAATTTGTAATGGTATCTACATAACCAATTTTGACTATCACGAGATTTTGATCTACAGTATATTTTGCTTAGCTGAACGTCCTTCTTTGCACGAAAAACTTGTGCACGTAACCGAAAAAGGCACTTCATCGAATTTTCTTTACTACTTCAATGAGGAAGGTATCCGAATCCCTATGACACCAAATATTGGCGGGGCACTTACCATGTAGAAATTACTGCAAGCGAAATTTTTACCGAATGTTATCTAATTATCTATATAACTACATAAATTGATAGCCATTTTCGCTGTTCTGCGAGATGAGCAAAATAAATAAAAGGTTGTAAAATTAGGTAATTGTAGGGCCAGTGCAGGTAAACGTCATACTTTCATTGATAATTGATACTAGTCGCACAATTTTTAAGGCAGGTATCGCCAATGTGCAGGTATGTTGAATGCATCTATCGGAGCAGTTTCCTTATAAATGTTAAAAATAATGCTTTTGATGCGCATTTTGGGGTAGGTATCTTAAATGTGCACTTAAGCATAGAGGCAGCAAAGCAAAATATACTGTACTTCTGTATGGACTTCTAAAACAATTCCTATTAAATGATCTATATCTAGAATTTTGATTAATTTGTTGCTTAATAAAATTTAATTCAAAGGAAAGTTTTTGAAAATTTTCGCACATAAGATTCGTCGTTTCAACTAAATTCTCAATTTTGAAAACTATTCATAGCTGATATTTCGGTTTTATTAATCACTTCCCAAATATTATCAGCTAGTTTCACCAATTCATTTATATCATTGGTACTTGAACTAGCTAATATCACGCTAAGATTTTTTGGCAATTTTCTCAGCCAAAGTTTCTTTAAAATATCTTGACTAAAATTGGAACCTACAAGCAACATGAGCGACCGATAAAATTCAGAGGCTTTACGATCACCCATCTCTGAATCTGACAAAATTTTATCTAATTTCTTATTTTCGCTTAAAGAATGCCTTTCAATTAAGACTTTCTTTAATTCTGAAAACTTGTTGTTATCCGGAGGATTTTGAATGAAATCTAATATTGTAACTATTGCTTCTTGCGGAAGCGCTGTGAATGTGTGTTCAAATTTTGTAGTATCTTGTGTAATGTTTTTCATGTTAAATTGGATTTCTGTATGTACAAACCAAGCTTCTGGACAACTTGTCCAAAACTGTGGAAGCTTGACTGAGGTTGCATACACCTCATTATTATTTTGACTAGCATAAGGATTTGCCAACTCCTCTTGAAAAGAGTTGTTTTGCAAATCTATAAGCGAGTCATTTAAATTAGTTGCGTTCGATAACAAAATTAGCCAACACCAGCCAACAATCAAAATGAAGAGAGTAAGCGAAAATTCTCTCCCAAAGAGAAGAAAAAGCAAAAAAGTAAACGAACAGGAAATTAGCCATTACTTGCCAAAACCGGAAGAAGAAGACACACCAGCTGACTTTGTTTATGTTTTATTTGTAAACAAACTGAAATTCATGTGGCCTCCATAGAAGAAAAAAGGAAAGTGAACGTTCAATGTTCGCCAGGAACATTTCTAGAAGTAAAAACTAGTTGGCGGTATCATAAAGTCACATAGCAGGTAGCCTAAAAGCATATAAATACCAAAACTCGGAAAATGCAATTTTGTTTGTTTACAAAAATTGCAACCATATGTTTTGTGATCATGTTTTCGTGTTGGATAATTTTTGCTGACTAAAATTTTGCCAGTACAAAATGAACGCTTCTCTTACATCAAAATGAACGCTTGCTCTCTCAATTTTTGTGTGTTGGATAATTTTTTGTCGTTATCGAACGCCATCCAGTAAAAATTTGGAAAAAACTATTACAAATTTTTGACTTGTCGAACGCACCTATTATTAGTCCGTGTAGATGTGTGTGTATCATGTGGGGGTGAACGAAACATTATAGTTGCGTTCGATAACAAAATTAGCCAACACCAGCCAACAATCAAAATCAAGAGAGTAAGCGAAAATTCTCTCCCAAAGAGATGAAAAAGCAAAAAAGTAAACGAACAGGAAATTAGCCATTACTTGCAAAAACCGGAAGAAGAAGACACACCAGCTGACTTTGTTTATGTTTTATTTGTAAACAAACTGAAATTCATGTTGCCTCCATAGAAGAAAAAAGGAAAGTGAACGTTCAATGTTCGCCAGGAACATTTCTAGAAGTAAAAACTAGTTGGCGCTATCATAAAGTCACATAGCAGGCAGCCAAAAAGCATATAAATACTAAAACTCGGAAAATGCAATTTTGTTTGTTACAGAAATTGCAACCATATGTTTTGTGATCATATGTTTTCGTGTTGGATAATTTTTGCTGACTAAAATTTTGCCAGTACAAAATGAACGCTTATCTTGCATCAAAATGAACGCTTGCTCTCTCAATTTTTGTGTGTTGGATAATTTTTTGTCGTTATCGAACGCCATCCAGTAAAAATTTGGAAAAACTATTACAAATTTTTGACTTGTCGAACGCACCTTATGATAACTTCACACAAATAATCTCTAAAAGGAGTGTTTACAACTGATCCGAAACAAGTTTAAATATACGGTACAATGAAAATATATTATATATATCTAATTTAAAGGGGAAAAAAAAATTTTCAAAAATTAGACAAAAAGATACAGCTCACCACTGTGTACTGAAATTGCTGCTATTAACAGCGACCGGACGTTGCTTATTGCTGCGGCTGCTTTGTATGTTCCTTTAGTTACTGTGCCAGTTGCTGCCGTCACTTTCGCTACTCAAATGCTTTGACGTCGTCGGCTGATAGTGATAATAATGATGTGGGGTAGTGCAATACCAAGCTGTGATAGTTATTGTGGGAATTCTCCTAGCTGTTGGCGAGGTCGGAAAGAAGTTGGACTATGTCTTGTCGAAATAGCCAAAGAAACCATCGGCACTAGGTAATGCAGCAGCAGCAGTAGCTTTCGTAGGTTCTTAATGTTCATAATTCACTTATCATAGGCCGGTGAACTCGATTGCGTTGGCTGTGATGAGGACAGTGAGAAAATCAGTTATTGCACTTGTTTTGGTTGATGATTGAAGCTGTTGAGAGTGATAGTTTTGTTGCAGTTTCAACAGTTGAACTCCTTGCACCAGTAAAACAATAGGAAGGAATTTCACAAGCTGATACGATAATCCTGTTAGCACACGGGTAACTCCTAGTGAAATATTTTTGTTGCTGATTGCTTGCTTGCAGTACGCAATATCTCCTGGCAGGATCGCTAATTGTAGTTAACAATATATAAATTTAATTAAAAAAGGTTTAATCTAAAAATCCAAATGAAATTATGTTGTTTACAGCTCAAGAAAAATATTTGAAGTAATCTAATTTTCTCTTTGATGTTTGAACTACAAAATCACTTAAATATAAAATTTCTAAAATTACAAAGTTGAAATTAACACAGTACAATAAAAGACAGTAACACAAATACAAAACCTACAGCAATTGTTAAGTTAAATTGAGGGCATGGACTTACTCCAACACGACAGCCAGCTTTTGCTTTGGTGAAATTTCGTCGTTTGGCCTTGTTCGCTTTTTAGGTTGCAGTTGAGGATGAACCAGCTCATACAACTCGTTGAAACTACATACATCCATATGAAAATTCTCCTTGAACTGTTTTTCATTGGCAACTAGGTCATCAAACTGCAAATGATTGTTTGAGTAGATTTCGGGAAAATTAATGTATACAATTAAATATACAATTAAATTACATATAATTAATCAATTTAAAAAAAAATCATGAAAATTTCAAACTTACTAATCAAAAATTTTAGAAAATATTCGGAAAGTATGCGGTTTTGTAGCGCATTCAATTTTGAAAAATAAAATGCTAATTAAAGGTCCCTAAAAATTACCGTCCATTTTTTAGAATTTTTTTTGTTGAGGGAGTTGTGCATTTTCTTCCATATAAAATAGATTTTGTTCACATGTTCTGAAAAAGAAGTTTGAAATTTTGATGGATTTTTTCTAATTTGATTAATGATTTGTGTGAACTTTGTGCAAGCTGTAAAACTTTTATTAATGCGGTTTCTGTTACAGAACTAACTAGATTAAACGATAATTACTAAACTTATATAAATAAACATAAGTTGCAAAAAATATAACTTTGAATTTTGTTACTATCTTATTGACCGCAGCTGTAAGTGACCAATTGCGGACGGACAGACAGACATGCTAATCATTTATATATATACACCTAGCAGAAAGTCTTTATTAATATTCACAATGTGGTTGTTCACGCTTGCCTGGTTATCAGGTTATCTAGTTTTGTGGTTATATTTTTTATTCAGTTTACAACAGTAATGGTGCATTTACATGGTATGAAGCCATATGAACTGTTGATACGCTAAAATAGAGGGACTACATGTTCTAACGAGGAATTCAATGATATCGAGTGGGATGCATTATAATACATTTTTTCATATGAAAAGTTATGGGGAGATACTGTAAACATATTGTTGTGATACTGTTAAGCACAAGGCGAATATATATAAGGTGGTATCGATTCAACAAATACAACAATTACTTGTATTTTGTTTTTGCTTTTAGCGGGCCATTGTCAAATTTCAGCTATTCTTCCCCGAAGGAAAAAGGGGGACAGAAAATAAAAACACTCCCACGTTTTCACTCACTCACTAGCGAAATACAAAATTTTGACAATCAAACGCTACTCACAGCTGATGAAACAACACCACCTTATATAAATTCGCCTTGGTTAAGCATATGAAATTATAGCAAGTGGAATTTTCATACATCTTCCCATAAAAAGTTTAACAGATGCAGAGATACCAAGGAGGATTTTTCCCATTTGGATGCCTTTTTAATATAAAAACCCACCGAAAAGGCGGAAAGCGCCAACTCCGCCATTCACATACATGTCAAAAGTATGAATTTTAAAAATTAAAAACAATAAACAAACAAATTTAAAACAAAGAAATTCTTTGTATTAGAACTTTTTCAATAGAAGCAACTCACGTATAGTGGACAATCAAAATACAAAGCACTATGATAACAAACTTAAAAACAAGACATTACACAACATTTTAATGAGCTTTATATCACATTTAAGTAAAAATAAGCCTATATTTTCCAAGCTGGCAAATAAATGAAAATGTGTATTTTTTGTTTTTTACACAAAGACTTGCCAAATATACATATAAGTCAAAATTATAGAAGGCATGTATACTTCTCCCTTTCATTTTTTCGTACAGTTTATGCTTCTTTCTGGCTTTTACAAAATGCAGGGATACCGCACTTATTTCGGTACAATATGATCGTAATGTATTTTCAATTCGAAATCAAAGAAAAACATCCCACGAAAATGTTTGCGATTTTAGAACAATTAGTGTATATTTGCAAACTATTAAGTTATATCTATTAATTTATACATGTGAACTGTTTTCAATGACCATTTTTTCATTTGCTCCAGAATTTTGGGTACATTTTCTTATAGTACCTCTCATTCTTTTTTATATTACATATATACACTCCGAAGTTCGGGATAGTTGGGGTGTTCACAGTTCGTTCCAAATTGTGTCTGAAAATGTAGACGTCTACATTTTGAGACATTGTTAACATCAAACTGTGAGCCCCCCTTTCTAGCAGTCGTCGCAAAATCGTCTCAAAACTTTGCTGGTGTTGCCAGACATTTCTTCCTTGCGTGCATTGTTTATATGTCGCCTTTCGATTTTGTTTCTGAAAAATTGTAATTATTTAACTTAATTATTATTATGTTGGTAATAGTAAACCTCCGAGTGTATTCTGTCATGGAAACAACCTCTCATTAAAATACAATTGCCATTCGGAGTCGGCGTAAAACTGTCCTTTACTTTGTGTGACAAAATCACGCACGCCGCATATCGGAGGAGAAGCTAGGCTAAACACTAACATATTCTTCAAGCGCCGTTTAAAGTACAAAAGCGCGTATCGTGGTTCTGCAAAACCTCGGAACTGAAATTTGTGCCAAAAAAAGATATTTGGTCATCGGAAGCTCCTGACACCAAGCCCTTAGCCATTTATAATAAAATATCGATACTTAGACATAAGGAGATAAGATTATTAAGTTTAAAAGAGAGAACCGTTTTTAATTAGGACAAGTTTCACTCTCTCCTATAAAATTTAGGCAACCTCACATACGGGGTTTTGCATTTCCTTGATGCGCGGTTTTGTAATTTAAGCGAAGATATGTAGAAGTATTGCATACATATTTTGGTGCCTTTTCAAGTATAAAATCCACTGAGAAACGGCATCCCTATGATTTCAACTTATGCCAAACGTTTCGTAAACAAGCAATTCTGAACAAAAAACTGTTTTTCCACAAAGATGTTTAAATGGAAGCATTACAAATATGGAACAATAGCAATCCACAAGGCTTTATTGGCAGTAGGTCCTTTTTAAAGCACATTTAACAAAAAAATATGCTTCTAGTTTCGAAGCTAGCACAAAATACAATTTTTTTATTTGTTGTTTACAAAACAAATATTGTCAAGTATACAAGTCAAAATTGTTAAATATATATCGCTTTCATTCATTTCTTCATAGAGTTGGTGCTTCTTTTATAGGAAAATTTATACGGCTTATGAACAGATTCATACCATGTAAATGCACCATAAAATACACTACAGAATAATAATTTTTAACCAGATAACCTGATAACCTGGCAAGTGTGAACAACCACAACATTTATTTTTTTTGTTATTTTTTTTATAAGAATACGGATCATGCTTCATACAAAATCAAATAAACAAAGGTTTCAAGCTGTATACAAAATTATTGAAAATTCAACGAATTTTCATCAAAATTTTCAACTTTTTATTCAGAATTAAAAAAAAATTCAAGTACGCAGTTTTCTTGTCCCTCAAATATTAGTATGAGTGTGGAAATTAAGTGGCTAAGAAATCGCGTTGATTTTTAATATTTTTTTTACGTACCAATTACCAAATAAATTTTAGCTTGCAAAATATTGTTAATAAATAAAAAATAAATGGTGTACGCAGACTTTTTCTGCTAGGTGTATGTCCATATCTGTAACCAAATATCTATAATATCAATTTAACTTAAATTCGTAGCGACCGATTTATACTGTACTGCATGTGCATATATACAGGGTATCCCAGAAGTAACGTGCCAAACTTTAGGGGAAGGTAGGTGGGGGGGGTGAGCTCACTGATAAACAAAAAATTTTCAGGTAAAAGTGTCACCGTTTTTTAAATTTTTACATTTTTTCGAACTTAAAAAAAATCGTGCCTTTTCATGTGTTTTCTTTAACTGCAACTACAAACCGGGCAATACTTAGTAAATTTTTTATGTAAAATACTTCCAGATAGTTGCCTCTCCATACTGAAATGCAATGTAACACAAAATAATGTCAGGAGCAGGTAATAATGTACCTTTATACTATTTAGCATGATATTTGACGGTAACAAGAGCAAATTCAATTTAAATCTATTAAATATATAAATATTAAATATTAAATTCGAAAAAATGTAAATATTTCAAAAACGGTGACACTTTTACCTGAAAATTTTTTGTTTATCAGGGAGCTCACCCCCCACCTACCTTCCCCTAAAGTTTGACACGTTACTTCTGGGACACCCTGTATATATAAGTACATCTAGGAGTTTGTGGGTGCAAGGTATTTCTTTCCAATTCATACAGCGACTGAGAGTGTATCAAACAATTTTTATTATATACTTACATCCTTTGCGAAGCGCCCAAAATGCTGCTAAATGTAGTTAAACCTGTCAAAAAGAATATAATTAGTAATATTATTATGTTTAAACACATCATTCTTACCAAAATTTCCAAATTGCTTCTGGGGTGATGCACCTACTCTTCTGGATGCTAGTTAGGGTTGCCAGACGTACTGATTTCATCAGTACAGTACTGATTTTTCATTCCTCGTACTGATTCTTAAATCAGCACGCAAATATACTGAATTTTTGGATTCTGTACTGATTTGTACTGATTTTTGTTAAGTCAATAACTAAGCAAAGTCTCATGTCAGACGTGAATGGCCCAAGTCAGTCGTAAGCCGTAATAGCCGATACTAAAAATAATTTCATTAGTATCACCAAGTGCCGTTTTTCATTTTCCAACTATTTACATTCAACGTTTGCAACTAACATAAGGTTCGTTCGCGTAGCTGTTAATTGTTCATGTTTAACCAAAACTTACAGGTTTTTGCGTTCGCGTACGAAAAAACTTGCAAAGTAGGGGAAATTGAGAGAGCAAAGTGACATTTCATTTTGAGGGGAAGCTGTTAGTTTCTGTTGGAAAAATTTTTGCCAACAGCAATTTGCCAATAGGGAAACAGCTGATCAAAAACAGCTGGTTGGCATTTACGCAAATCACAAAATTTAATTTGATGGTTTGGAAGATAAAAATTACAAAATGCGACTAATTAAACTTGTAAGAAATAAGTAGTTATTTGTTTAATCAAT